CTGTGGTCCCAGCTACTTGGGAGGCTGAGGCAGGAGACTCGCTTGAGCCCAGGAGTTGGAGGTTGCTGTGAGCTGTGATGTCACAGCACTCTACCCAGGGGGATAGCTTGAGGCTCTGTCTCAAAAAAAAAAGTTAAAAAAAGCAGGACGTCTGGTCACCTTAATGTATGTGCCAGCACACCCAGCTAATTTTTCTATTTTTTAGTAGACAGGTCTCACTCTAGCTCAGGCTGGTCTCAAATTCCTGGCCTCAAGAGACCCTCCTCCCTTGGCCTCCCAGAGTGCTGGGACTACAGGTGTGAGCCATTGTTCATGGCTTGACCAATCTCTTACCTCCCCTTGCTTTTCACTTTAAACTTGACAAAACTTTTCCTAGGGTGGGATGGACGGCTGGAACTGCGCCTCTCTCATAACAGATGGGGAAACTGAGGTCCAAAAAGGGATGGGATTTGCCCAAGGCCACAACAGGCTCAGAACCAGCTTGTCCAGGACCAGGGAGGAAAAGGAGGGGAGGTCCCACAGTGTGTCTTCATCCTTGGCTGCCCTCCGTAGGACAATCTGGGAATAAAGATGGTGGAACCTGGGAGTCTGAAACTGGAAGAAACCAGGGCAGTCTGAGCACGACTTCTTGCCCAGCCCAATTTCTGCATCTCCAAAAGTGGGAGCTCACTCTTCCCTTCTAGGGTGCACATCACATTGTCCTCTGAGGTTTCCCCAGTTGGATCTCACATTATCTCACAGGTACCCCAGACACTCTGGGGAGATAATTGGACAGGTAAGGGAAACTGAAGCCCATAGAGGAGAACCTCAGGAATGTAGCCTCCTCTCTGGACCTCAGCTTCCAAAGACAGATGGGTTATTCAGGGCTTCCTGGCTCTGCCCTGCGACAACCTTCCGTCCCATAAGGCAATCTCAGAAGGCTTCCAGTAGAAGGTCTGTGGGCTGGCCATAGATCATCATGATAACTGCTAGTAATACGGAAAAAGCATTTACTACTACATACTAATTTTTTTTTTTTTGAGACAGATCAACCTGGGTAGAGAGCTGTGGCGTCACAGCAACCTCAAACTCCTGAGCTTAAGTGATTCTCAACACCTGGCTATTTTTTGGTTGTAGTTGTCATTGTTTGGCAGGCCCAGCCTGGATTCAAACCCACCAGCTGTGGTGTATGTGACTGGCATGTTAGCCACTTGAGCTACAAGTGCCACTCTACATATTAATAATTTATCATTGTTATAATTTGTATAGTATTAATTGTTTACCCCTTGCTAAACAATTTTATTGAGCACTAGCTGTGTACCAGGCCCATTCTAAGTCCTTTTCATGAATTGACTCATTTATTCCTTGCCATGGTCTTGTGCTCAGGGAACAAACATCTGCCCCAACTCCACCTGAGTCCCTGGGCTGCAGAGGGTGCCCCTACACGCCTTGCTTTGGTAGTCCCAGCAAACCCCAGACCCAGGAAGACTCTAGGTGGCCTCAAAAGCACCTCCTGGGGGTCTCCCTCTGGCCTTCTCACCCCAGGGGCCTCAGCCCCATTCCCCAAGATGAGGTCCCCAGCCCAGAAGGGCTGCCCCACCATGGTAAGGCAGAGGCCAAGGGATGGACCTCCCATCATGCCTCTCCATCTCCCCCTACAACTTGTTGATCCCCATGTCCTGCCCACTTTCTCTGCAGAGTCCCTCTCTAGCCTAGCCTCTCCTCTCACTTCCCATCACCCTCATCCAGGCCTCAGTCTCACCTCCTGCCCCTAAGGGCCAGCCCACCCCCTATCTCTTTATAGAATATAAATCTGGCCCTGGCACCATAGTTCATGCCTGTTATCCCAGGACTCTGGAACGCTGAGGAGGGAGGATAACTTGAGCCAGGAGTTGGAGGCCAACCTGACCAACATAGCAAGACCTCATCTCCAAAAATTTTTTTTAAAGCCAGGCACAGTGGAGCACTCTGACAAGCCAAGGCAGGAGAATT